TTAGCCCGTTACTCTATTTGTTGCTTATACTCTTTTATTTGATACAAATATGGTTCCCAAATCAATAATCATTGAGGAATTTGAACTTTAGTTTGGTTTAAGAATCACTTAAGGATTATGAATTTTAACATTTAATTTCATTCCTGGTGGATTTTTTAATAGTTTTTATAAGCCAGATGCTTCTTCTTCTGACAATTTGATAGTTTATCTAGCAAATTGGGATCTTGAATTTTAATATTATTCAATAGCTTCTTCTTCTAGTTAGACTAGATTTGAATTTGGAGATATAGTTTGCTTAGGATTTTGTAAAGCGTAAAGCAATTATTAGAGAGTGTAATCTAATAATCTCAAGACTGGTTACATCATTACATGTATAATTAATTAACTCATTTCTACATCGATGATAATATTAACATTATTAAATATTTTAGATGAACCATCTGAGTACAAGATTAGATTCATTTTCAATAATGACTATTATTGAAGTTTGACTCCAACCATTTATTTAGGCTATACTTGATCATATTCAGATTCCTAACTAAGAGTGTTTGGATAATTGGTTAGATCAAAAAGTTATAAGTTCCCCAAAGTGCCATTCAATTATAATTCATCAACGTATTTGATGAGTCCTATTTCAGTGTTCTCTATCTTGATTTCAGCCAATGGTAAAATAGTGAATCTGTGTACTAAAATAGCATTTATACTTCTTATTCTAACATTAACATCCATCAAAATTACGTCTTACATTTTATCTAATTTCACAGTCTATGCTGCACCTTCTAATTCCTTTTTGGTCTATTCTATCTTCCTCTTTGCTTGATCCATTTCTTCATAACCTTTCATCTGATTCTATTAATCTGCTGGAGTAACAAATAAGAGTAGTCTCGCAATTACTAAAGGTTTAGCAATCAAACACAAAGTACCAAAAGTAACTTAGACTATCAGATTCTTTTTATTGTATCTCTTATCTTTTGTATTAATCTATTGAACATTAATATTTATTAATTCGTTTGATTCTGGATCTGGATCCGATTTCACAATATACTTAAATAATGGATTCAAATAATTTTACACACTATCTATTACGTAAAGATCTCTTAATTTCAAATCCAAATCTATCGATCCATCTAATACTGATGTACCAGCACTCAAACCACTAATTACTACTTATAACCAATCACTTAATTTTTCATCTTGCAAATGCAAACAGAATCCCGATAATTCAAATTTCAAATTCAATGGTCTACTCTCTTTATTCATACTTTTATTACTGTGCGCATGTACATGTTCAATATTTTTATCAGCTTTCAATAAAGTTCTCATTTCTTCTATGGCCTCCTTCCAATCATTGGCCATCTTTTGTTTATCAAATGCTATTAATGTATCTCCATATTTATTCTTGATGTAAAATGCATTGCTCATCCCTGCTTCCTCCTAGGAAACATCTTCAAAATCACTATTCCTAACCCAAAAGAAGGATTCTGCCTATTCATCTTTAGGCTTGGCAAATAGATAGATATAACCCCCACTTAATACTCCAGTATATTAAGACCATTTCAGTAATTATCCCCTTTTCCAAATCTTGCCAACTTTAGTAGCTGTCTCAATCAAAGCAGTTCTTTCAGTTTAGGCCTTTTCAATAGTCAATCTAGATTATCTCAGCATTGCTTCTTCAGGTTCTGTAATTGGTGCAATAAAACAATCACCCACCTTGATGATTCGATTATATATTAATGGATTGACAAAGACATTCAATTAGGGAATCACCCCATCTACTAAAATTTAAGCTAATTCCTTGGGAGGTTTTGAACTACCTCTCAAAAGTTTGGCTATTATTGAGACTTTGATATTTTAAATTACACTAAAAGAATCATCAATATTATTTAAATATGCTCCATTATTTATAGATTTCTCACACTCTTAAAATGATTTATAATGCTTAAATGTGAAGTCTTGTAATGTAATCTCAAACTTATCATAATGAACTTCATTCGTATTTGGAGTAACAATCGAAATATCTCCTAAATTCAATAACCAATTTTCATTTGTATTAGGTATTGGAACCAAAACTATAGTGGATTTTACTTTAACATCCACAAATAAAATGGATGAAGATAATTATGTTTTAGCCATTTAATTGACCGCTAAATCTTAAGCATACTCTACTTAATCCCAAGCAGCATTTTTCAATGTTTCATCTTTTATTTAAAAATCAATAAATTATTGAATACGAACCAAAATGATTGGATTAAATACCAATTTAAGAGATCCTGTTTCTAATTTGACGTATTTATCTACTCCTTTATGATGTACTGGATTGGTTTCAAATGTAAAATCTATAAACTTCTATTTGTTTACTTACTCAACAAATACTTTTCTGGTTTGCTGAGAGTACATTACTACATTATTTATAATTGGCTCGGTTACAAGATCAATTCCAATATAAGATAATCCTAAATTGAGAAACATTCCACTTTCTTTAATTTCTAACTAACCCTCAAATCCAGAATATTTTAATTGCACTCCTTCTCTTTTCGCTTCAAATTATTTCAAAACATGAATTGTTCCAGACTTTAATGAGAATTTAGCTGCATACTTGACATAATCTGGTGGTCTTTTGAAATCTTTTAAATCTGGGAAATCGGCTAATTTGTCAATAAATTTAAGTAGTTCATCCTTTTCTGATTCATCTATTATGTTATTATCCTTTTTTGAACCCCAACTAAACCAACCTCCTTTCTTTTTCTTTTTATCTTCAGCTTCCTTGATTGCTCTTTCTTTTTCAACTACTTTGATTATTTCTCTTGCAGATTCACACAGAATATCTATACTTAAATTACTAACAGATTATTCAAAAAGATCATTTTCATTCTTTGTCAAGGCCTTAGTTGTTTGATCAGAACTTCTTAATATTTTTTCATATAAATTCTAAAAGATTAATGTTTAATCATCAATTTATTGCTTTGTTAACAACAACTTCTATTTCTTCTATTTATTTAATCTATTTTAATATAGTGAGAATAGTTCTGCCATTCTTATCAATTATTAGAGTTATGAATTTTCTATTGCTAAATCAATTGTATTCAAATCAAGGGTAATAGTGTATTCAGGAGAATCAAATTTGCCAGATGTATTCTAATAATATCTACCTGAAGCATTAAGTAATAGCATAAATTATGCGAACTTTGGATGATCTTTTGGATCTTATTACGATATCACTAATTCTGCCATCTTTTTTAATATTTCATCCTTCTCTAAGGAATTCAATAACTCTTTTTCTTATTAATTCCAGTATACTCCAATATTAATTAAAGTTAACAATTTTTATAGAGGCACTTTTTTCTATATAAATAATTCTTTTAATATACATTCTCTTCTTTTGTTCTATCGAAATATTATTTTTTCCATTCTGAATTGCAGGTGAAGGTCTCTACTGATTTTAATGATATTCCCCATGCAAATTCATTTCTTATTGTATCCTCAAATCTTATATGTATATTCGTTACGCTTAATTATATATTATCAATTATTTTAAACACTACCTTCATGAAATACCCATCATCTTTATCATTTTACTACTTCGAATTTTCTGAAATGCTTTTAATTATTTATTCCTTAAATTTTTCAAGAATCTCCATTTTCTTTATGAAACCTGAGTAATCCATAAATTACCAGTGATCTGGATGATCTAAAGAAACAATCAGATATAAATCAGATAAAACAACTTCAACTGGCGAACTAGTTAAAGATTTCCATGGTACCTAATGTAAATTAAATTATACATTACATTTAGCTTCAATTTTCCTACATGGCTAAAACACAACTTGATAGGTAATTCAAGCATTTTTATGATATCAGGTTTCAAGGCAACATTTTATATGGTAACTTCTCCACTCCATATTCCAATATGAAGGTTTTATGCATCAAATCCATCGATAAATTTTCCCAAAACCCAATTCAATATTTTTTCGAGTTATTTTTCAAACATTATTATTAATTTTATATAATATTAAAAATCTTTCATCAAATGACTCCTTCTTTTTTTCGTCAAATAATTCAATTATAGAATGATGATAAATTAAATATTGTTCAAATTGTAAATTAATTATTCCTATACAAAATACTTTACATTTATTGTTCCAAATTGATTTTGATTATTTACACAACTATTTATTAAAATCCTGAGAACATGTGAATACAGATAATAAAAAGGGAATATAAGTAATTTAAGCAATTGTTATTGATCATATAATATAAATAATGAACTATTGATTTAATTGGATGTCAATTCTATAGATCAAATTTAATTAGAAACGAAGGTGAAAAGAAACTTATTTTTTCCAAAATAGGATTAAAAGTGTAAAATCAATAAATAGTTTTGATTAATCTATATATTATTATTTACAATATGAATTATTATGTATTATAGATTAATGAATATATATGTGTTTTATTACACCTGTTAAACATTGATTTGAGGTAGATTGCTTTTATTTCATAAATGTTCGTTAAATCTTAAATTATAATAACATTGATAATTAAATTGTGTTTGTTAACATAAATAATGTATTTATTCATAGTAAAAAGAAAAGTAATCATCATATTAAAAAACAATATACTAAATGAGGATGAATTAAACAAATTCATAATTTTAATAAGACATAGTATTTGTAATAACTTGGTCAATAAATGTGGAATAAAATTATTCAATAAATCTATAAAAGTGATTCATCAATTGTCCTACCCAATTGTTTGCTATTTAGGGAGATCTCTTCCAAACTTCACAAAAACATTAAATTAAGCATTTTTTATGTTAATATTACTTAGATCCAGATTTTGAATTAAATGATTGGTATTTTGAAATCTGAAAGTAGGGTGATGATTTTGGAGATGTTTTGTGGATAAAAAAATGCATCTATATGATATGTATATAGAATTAATGTGCATATTTAAACTGAGATTCTGCGTTGTACACTATTTAATAATTATAATTATAAATTATGTTGAGTGATTGTATTGATATATCGACGTAATCAAAGGAACAGCAAAATTAAGCATCCAGCTATCCTTATTTCGTATATAATTTCCCGCCTGCCCCGTTAATGGAGTTTCCAAACACATCAATTCCACAACTCCAGATGAGGAATTCAAGTAAACTTACCAAATATTAATTAGCTGATTCTGTTTATAAAGATAACATATAAATTCCTTCATTTCTGTAAGGATTGTCTGTGCCAAGCTTCCAATTTAACAATTCTAATCAGTTTTGTGTTAATGAATAAAAAGTATACATACCACCAGTTGCAAATTCGTTGGCTTCGTATTTCCATGATTAATCAACCCAAAAACTGAAACAAGAATACAAATAAAACAGAATAATTGTTGGAACATAAACACTCTGTGATATCGAAATAATTCTTATTTAAAGATATTTTGATATTAAAACATAAGTATTTTTACATAAAATCTAAGTTATTTTGCCCTCCCAATATTAGATATACATTGAATGAAGATAAAGCTATTTCGAACTTGACATGGTTAAAAGACAGAATCAAAAACAGATATAAAAAGCCGGTAACTACATAATATTTATTTTTAGATAAAGGACTCAATGTTCGATTTGATTAATGTACTAGGAAATATGAATGAATAAGAAATACGTCAAATAAATTGTTTCTAATAGTTCTAAAGTTAAGGATTTGATAATCTTGAGAAATAAGTACCAAAATCAATTAAAGAAGAGAAACCATTTTCTGAGATGATGTTTGAAATCTAAATTCTGATTGCTTAATTTTTATTGACAAAATTTTGAAATAATATAGTTTCATTAAATTAAAGTCTCTCTTGAATTGTAAAATAGAAAATCACTCCATTTTTATATTATATAAAATTGTATGTATGTAAAATTTGTCTTATATTTAAAAGAATAATTATTTTAAATAATTAAAAAATCTTAATGGCTGAGAACATCGTGTATTTTAAAATGAAACACGAGGCACAAACATATAAAATTCCAATATAAGGAGTGAATGTGCAACTAAAAGATTTACGACAAAAAATAAAAGATTTTCTAAGTAATCAAATTAAATATTAATCTAGAAATGCCTTAGGCTTAGAAAGGATAGTCCAACCAAAATTCTGAAGAGTTAGTTATCTATGGAGAATTGGAATAGAATGGTGGATAAGAAAAACCATTAGGATTAGCTGATAAAGTAGAATAATTAAATTAATAATTGTTTAGGTGAGAAATAAATAAACAGTGATTGTGGTGAGACAACCATACCAGTAGGGCCAATCGTTGTGTGAGTCATGCCTATCTGCGAGAAGCGCATCTTAGACCCCTTGTTGTTAGAGGAGGATATGCCAAGGATGCGAAGAACAATTTATCAAAGTTACGAAGTGTTTCTTTAATGAGCTACAATAATGTCCATTTAAATATGTCAATTATCAAGTTTAGACTATCAAGTAATAAACTGAGATTTCCAACGCAGAGTTGGAATAATAAATTAAAAATGCTGTTTTCTTTATTGTTAAGAGTAACACCGAACAGAATGTGATTTTGGCCAAAACTCACGATGTTTGGGCTACTACTCGTCGTAACTTTGGGACTCTTATGGATTAATTTAATAACAAAAAAGTCATTTTGATTTTTATTGCTAATCGTGTTGAAAAGTTTTTAGGTTGTGCTAAGATGAAGAATATACAAGTTCCTCGAGATCCCAAATGGTAATGGTGTGGTACATCCACTATTCAATTGGCTGATAATTTTTCAATTGAATGGTTAAGGAAGGGTACTGTTGATTTTGCCAAATTGTAAGACACCATTAATCCAAAAACTGGCGATCTAGTAATCAGGAGTAAAGATTGTTAAGAAGTTCCAGCTGTAATGATCCTATTATTAATTTTATTTATCAGGATATTGGTCAACGTATATGTCTATTGTTTGAATAAATCAAATAAAACGACGAAGAACAAGAACCTGTGCCCCAACCTTAATAAGAGCCTACTCCAAAGGATGTTGAGATCGAATGGGATTACAATCAAATAATTTGTATATTCAATTAATTACAATTAATTAAAGCTCCTGTCAATGCAAGTCCAGTCAAAGAACAACCAAAAAAATCACCCAGTCGTTCCCCTAGCAACCAGAACATCCCTTCCCAAAAAATTCAATTAAATTAGGCATAACATGCCTTGTTAAATGAAACCATAGCATCATTGGTGTAATAATAATAGATGGAAATGAATTGGAATAAGATGAATGTGGGTAAAATACCTGGATTGACAGGAAAGGTATAGTATCCACATCCATTTCTATAAAAATATAGTTAAAAGCAGAACAAAATGGCAGAAGCCTTATTATAAATGGTCTAAAAAGAAACTGAAAAATAAGACAAAGAAAAGAAATCATCAAGCCATTCTAAAAAGCATAAAAAGAAGAAGGATAGAGATCGAAGTTCCTCTGACGAAAAAAGAAGATCAAGTATCATAATATAAATAATAATAGGGAAAAAAAGTAAGGAACGACAAGATAAAAAATCAAAGCATAAAAAGAGAAGTAGAAGTAGATCTAGAGATCATAAGAAAAAAAAGCATTGATTATCAAATTCATATTATAATCAAAATATCTATTAAATTTTATTTCACTATAATAATACCCTATTCTTATCATCTATTTAGGTTTCCCATCGTTTAAACAAAGATTTTCACTTGAAATTCATCAATATTTCTTTAAACGTGAGTTTAAATTTGCATTATTTGGAACTTTAATACTAAAATTTTGGTTACAAGTGTGTTAACTTAAAGAAAAGATATCAATTTCTTATAAAATAATTTATACTAGTTCATAAAAATAGCTGGGTTGTGAGAAATTAGCCATTCAAAATTTGACAGATGATTATTTTTATTTAATTCTATTACTATATAAATTATCTCAATTTATCAAATTCTAGTATACTTATTATTCAATGCGCCTTAAGAGTGCATAAGTTTTAAATGAAAACTTTTTAAAGATTAATCTTGCAATAATGGATTCTCCAAAAAGCTGGAATGCTTTGAGAATTTGCCAGCTTGATTGTCTACTTATTCTCCACCTCTCTCTTTTCTATATTATTTTAATTGCTATTTGAATGTGCTTGTAATGAATTAGTTATCATTAGCAAGTTCATTTAGTCCAAATTATGATTAATTTTTTTAATTTTACTGTCCGATGTTACTTACATAAACCTTCATTCTCTCAAAAACATCTAAATTATTATTATTCATTTTTACTTGAATTTGGTTGTTCAGAACTTATGGAAGGTCTTGAAATTGATTCATTTCCACCCAAACCCAATTTACCCATATAGCTAGCTAATTCTTCTCTTCTTTTATTAGATTTATTTTTTTCTTTAATATCAATATTAATATTCATTTGTTAATGAACTTTTGAGTTATATTAAATTTCATTCTTTAATGTTGTGGGATTAAATCCTGGAGAAGCACTTCCTTAAACAAATCCAAATTTTTAGGTTTGCTTATTACTCCCTAAATATTGACCTGATCCTTGTCCACTACCTGATTCAAATAAAATATCCGTTTTATTAGGTGTTTTAAATTGTTATAATAATTGATCCAAAGGTCTGTTACTACCTTTTTACCTAAAATCATAATTACTACTCTCTGAATGTTCTTAGTGGTCTTAAAATGGAGATTTCTTATTGAATAAATCAGTTAAATCGCCCAAAGTTGATGAATTTTTGAATCTATCAATCATAATCGAACTTTTTTAACTTAAGTTTAAACCAGGTTCTACTTTTGCTTCTAAAGCATCTAAAATTTACATTTTTTGTTATGCAATTGCAACTTTATGTTATGTTTCTAACACTTATACATCAAGATTATTCCAACCCTAATTCCATTCTTATTAATTTATTTTTCCATCATGATCAGCATCAAATCTTTTAAATATTTCTGATTTCTATTCTCCTCCTATTGTAAAGTGACTTTCATCTATTGTTCCACTCTAATCTGCCATAGCCTTGAATGCATCAAATTTATTTTAATGTGAATTTATTAATTCCTTTGATGATTTCTCCCATGCACTAGTAATTTTAACATCTGAATTAGACTCTTCTGGTTATTTAGATGATGAGGATTACTATTAAGGTTCCTGTTGAACACTCTCTGACATCTGATAAAATTAAATTTTATTTATTTTTAATTTCAATAATATCGGTATGTTTATTAATAAATTTAATATCACACAGAAGAAGGCATTTATAGGAGCAATAACTATTACTAAATCATATAAAATTATAATAGTTGTTCTTACAATTTTTATTAAAAGAGCATTGAAAACTAAATAAATAAATTAATTTACATTAGGATTAAAGCAATTATATTAGTTGGTATAATAATTAGATACAATTTACTATTACTATTATTATTATTACTATTATTAATATTATTAATCTTCGTTATTCTCCTCTATCTTAATTATTTTTTGAACTTTTTCATATTTTTCCATTTCTCGAATATTGTTTAACTTCTCTAGTCTTTATTATTGTTCTGCTCTTTCTTCTTCGAAATTTTTAGTTGGTAATTTATCAAAGTCTTTGTACTTTTTGAAAGCTGATTTTCTTTCTAGATGATTTAAGGGCAATTTAATTTATTATTAAGATTAAGGTTCAATTTCGATAGCCTACTATTGCGCTTAATTTAGAATCTAAGATTAAAATTCCAAAGATTATTATTAACTTAGAGTAAACTAATTCATTAAAAGGGTCAATTAATTATAAGATCCTTAATAATCCTCTGCAGTGAATTCTAATTTACGGTAAATGAGTTCATTGAGATGTTTCTTTTCCACAACTTAGATTTTACTCTACCCAAATAACTAATTTAAGGAATCCTCAATCTAAATTAAGATATAATAAAGAATACCTTTCTCTTAATTCTATTATTATTTGATTAAAACACCAATAGATATTGGGAAATTAGGGATTTGGACAAAAGTTGTTTCTGTAGTTCAACAAGATGATTTTCAACTTCAGCATCGGGCATATAGTAAACGTTGAAACATCTTGAAAACTTTAAGGCTAGAAATAGTGGATGTTTTATCTTTATTAATAAATATTTTTACTTTGTTTCTGATATTTGGAGCAGTTAAATAATTATATAATCCATTTTCATTATTTTCAATAGGGGCATCAACAATGTCATTTTAGTACTTCTCCTTTTTACAAAAACTTCTTTCTAAATATTTAGGCTCGAAAGGGGAGATAGATTGTATTTATCGATGTTCATCACGAGCACTTTTTCTACTGTCAACAAAAATAGGTGGTGATTGTAATGAAATAATTATGTTCTCTCTTTCTTTAATAATTAACAGCAATTAAAATTTATGGCCTTGATGATTGTAAGTGGTACTATTAAATTTTACACCCTAAAATCGTTTGATGAAATTACTGTGAAAAATGCTCTTCCATCTACTAATTCATAATTAGTTGTTCCTTCTAATCCAACTTCTTCAAATAGATCTGCTTAGAGTTCTTTGACTGCCTTGAGTTGAACCTAAAAATAGGTTTCTTTTTATTTTACCTAACAGTTCACCCATTAAGCACATTCATCATTTTTTAGGCTCAATTTAACAGAGATATTTGGGATATTCCAACTTTTATGCCAATTCCATCCTAAATCACAAGAATGTTGGAATTCTCTCTCTGTATCAATCTTCAAACAAACAGGTCCTTGATTTGGAGTAACTGTTTAAACGAGGTTTTAGTAATTGCTTTTCACTTTTACAGTACAAGAAGTCTAAGTCCAAGTAAAAGCCTTAGGTGAATGACTCATATATTCAATATAAAACGTAATTTAAATAAAAAAATTAGAATTTCTTTAAATGTCATCGTTCACTTATATATGCTCGCATATTCGTCAAAAAATTAATAAAATAAAACTACTTATGTACAGAGATGATTAGAAAGAGAAAAAGCCAGAATATTAAAATATTTATAAAAAAAAGATTTTATTTTATTAAAATATATAAAAAGCATTATTAAAAAATATATAATTTCAATTAAAATAACTGATAAACCTAAATCAGATTCTGGAGTTAATAGATGATTATCAATTAATCTTTTGGTTTGGTATAAAAACACAACGGATTTAAATAATTTAAAAATGGTATTTATAATGTTTTTTAATATGAATAATCAAATCATTCATTATGAAGATCCTGATTTAGGTCCAGGGGCTGTCTCAGATTTACCAGATTGAGCTCCTTGTGATTGTTCTGCAACTCCTGACTTAGCTCCTGCTGACTTTTCAACAACTCCTGAGTTAGCTCCTTTAACATCCAATTATCCTGAGGCAGGTCCGGCTGCTCTTTCCAATTTGATAGAGCTCAATCCTTGATTACCAAGTAAGACTGAGAGAAGTTGATCAGCTGCCTTTTGTTAAGGTTCATAGGGCCATGAGGTGATAACTGATTTAGCTTTGTTTGTGAAGGCACCATCACCAAAGTTGAGATTCCAATTGAACATTGTACCTTCAAATTATTGATTGAATCCATCTCCTCCCAAGTAGAACCAGAATTTATTAGGAACAAAGTGTTTCAAATCATTATATTGATTTCCTAATTCTCTATCCAAGAATAGAGTGTAAGCAAATGCTTTTCTGATTTTAGAATTGTAACCAAAGTACAAGAAGATCCATTCTCCTCCATTGCCTCCAATCTTGGATGGCCATTGGATATCATTTTAGTCATCATCATTGCTATCTAAATCTCCATAATCATAGGTAGAGAATGTTAATGCATCTTTGAATAAGAAACATGCAAGTGTCCTATCACCAGCCAATGATTTATCTTTTTGAATTGCTGGATCATTGATAGTCAATCTAAAGATCATTCTTGATAATTCATCAATTTATCCTCTTCTAGTTTGTACCCAACCAGAAACTGCATATTCTAGTACTCCCTAGAATTGAGTGTATTATGATTTAATGGGAATACCAGAGTCACCCTTATTGACAACTTTCTCTTATTTCAAAACATTGATATCTGTTCTAGCAGGAACTGTCAATTATGGTTTTGGTTAGACTGCTAGGACATCTTTCAAGAATTGTTCCTTGGAACCAACAAATCCTTAAGCAAAGAAGATTCTTAATCCAGTAATCATACCATTAAATCCTGGGTATCCGAATTCATTATTGGCGACAACCACTCGAGCATAACCATTTAATGGATTATGAGCAATATCTATTAATTCTATTCTAGCAACTGTCTATCCTGGTACATCTCCAAAATGAACAAAACCAACTGCCCTAGGTGTGTCTTATGCAGTGAATGAGTAATAGATGTAGTTCCAATTTCCTTCAAGGTAGTCATCGTAATTTGAATTAGCAGATATGGATGCCTTGTTAGTCTTCTTGTCATAAGTAGTGAAGTGATAATATCCTTTGCCAGCCCATATTGCCAACACTCTATTACCAAGAGCAACATTGTCTTCATATCTCTCAGTGTTAGTCAATCTGATTAATTGATGGAATGAAGATTTCTCAACAATTCTTTCTGGAGTTGTCATCAACCATCTGGTCCATAATCCATAGCCATATTCAGTGACACCACCTACTTCATCTTTGAATGTCAAATCATATCCTGGTCTATCTTTGATTGGAACAAGAATAATTTCTTCTTTGGCAGGTTTCCAATCTGCTTTCTTTGCTTACAATCCCAATAAGTTTGGTAACATATTTTCATAATTTCCTTTATTTGGATCTATGTAAGCTCCTTTTCCGAAGATTGCTCCTACTTTTCTCATTGGTCCTTCCCATCCACCTAATAAACCATCTGATCCTGCAAATAAGGCGAAGTACTTGGGTATCATGTGTAAGACATTCTCATATGGAACAACAGCCTTTTCTTGTGGGAACTTCACAATACCTGAAGCAACCTTCTTTGGCCAACTATATCCGAACCAAACATAAGTCCAAACTCCAAAGTTGTTTCCTAGTGGAGTAGGTTTTCTAATGTTAGCCACTTAACCATCATCAATAGTGCCAAGAGTGTATGTTGAGAAGACTACTTCATTTAGTTAGTACATAATCAAGAGTGTCCTATCTCCTACAATTGCTGCTTCTCTTCTATAACCTGGTTCATTGTTTGTCAATCTCAAAAAGACATTGTTATCTCTCTACAATTTAGGTTAAGCATATCTGAACCATCCGAAGATAGAGTATTCAAGAGACTCTTAATATTGATTTGGCCATTCAGAGACTTATGGATTATCTCCAACTCTCTTTTACACTTCATCTTCTTATATTTTTAGAACCTAAGGATCAGGAATATTGAGATCTGGTTATGGGAAAGTAGTCTTGATCAAGGTTTCTAAAGTCTCTACATCAGGAGCATAACCTTGTCCACCAAAGAGCATTTGCAATTGTGAAATCTTACCGTTGAATCCTTGGTAACTGAATTCTTTTCCAATTATGATTTTACCAAAGCCTTCAATTGGTTTATGTGTTATTTCAGGGAAGTTAACTCTGCTGACATCTCCTGAGCCACCGAATTTAACATAACCAATAGCTTGTTGTTTTGAACTGGCGAAACAGAAGTAAATGAAATTCCATTCTCCTTCTAATTTATCATCATATTTGATATCTTAAGCAATAGTTGGAGTATTGGTAGCCAAATTATATGTTCTGAATCCGTAGAATCCTTTTCCTAACCATAATGCAAGGGTTCTGTCTCCAACCTTTGATTAATCTTAGTAGTCTCTATTGACTGTGAATCTAGCTATAGACACCCATGCTGGTTTATCTAAAACTCTCTTTGGGATTGCAGTCATGTATCTACTCCAGAATCCAATTGCATAGGCTGAATGTCCATCTACTGCTTCTTGGTCAAATTCTTTTTATATGGTTCCATCAAATGGCTATTCGAATTCATCCTTCTTGTCTGCCCATTTATATGGTTTAGATTAGACTCCTAATGCACCTGCAATGTATGGATCAAAACTCAAAATATCCTTGTCTCTATAGGCACCATTTCCAGCCATCAAGTACATTTATTAGTACTTGCCATTGTAAGGTGTGTGAATTCCATCCTTTCCAACATATAATCCTAAGTATCTAGGTACTCTGTGGAAAGCTACCAATTTCTTGTCACATTCAGTGGTTCTAGTCTTGTAGAAACTGTAAACGGTGTTAAGTTTTCTACTGTATGCATAATAAGCATAAACCCAAGCAATTTAATCAAGAGCTGGAGTTGGACATTCTGTGAAGATTTATTAGAAAGCATCATCAACATCTGGGGTAGTGTAAGTACTGAAGAATTGTCTGTGATCAGCATATTAGAATAATGATAACACTCTGTCTCCTGGTCTCACATGATTTCCTCTGATATTTGGTTCATTGTAGGAGAGAGTATAAACATTTTCCCAAGTTGCTCTTGCAATTGAAGACCATTTGAACCATATTGACACTGAATACTCAGATTATCCAGCAAACTTATCAGCAAATTCAACAGGAGCCACTTAACCCACTTCTCTCTTCATGTCCCTTGTATCTTAAAAGATGACTTCTTTGATTGGTGCTAATTATGGGAATTTAGGCATTTCTGGCAATTTTTTCCTTAGATCATCTGGGTTGGAGTAGAAAGCGCCATCTCCCAACATCAACACAACATTTGAGATGTGTCCATTAAATGAATGATAATTTGTTCTCAATTTGGCACCTGAACTACCGACACAGAAGTACAAATAGTCAGATAATGGAGTATGATTTACTATTTCAGGGAAGGTAGTTGATCTAACAGCTGAACCTCCAAAGAGCACATGTCCTACTATACTTCCTCCTTTGTCAAATTTCTTATATCCATAGTAAATGTAATTCCATGATCCATCCAATAAATTATTGTAGTTTACATTGTTTACCAAATTACCATTTCCTGGCACTGAGGTAGTGAAATGATAGAAACCAGATCCTACCCAAATAGCTAATACTCTATCTCCAATCTAAGCAGCATCTCCTTGGTAGTTTGGTCTGTATGTCAATCTGGATAATGCCATCCAAGCTGGTTTGTCTACTAGTTTCCTTTCTCCATTCCAAATAAATCTAGTCCACATTCCATATCCGTATTCGGTCAATCCATTGATGTAATCATCTGTTATTTCAACATCCTTTCCTAATGATTGGTCAGAGGGTCCCCAATTGTTTTAGAATAAGTCCTTTGATTCCCAGTTCTTTGGCTTTGGAATTACTCTTCCACCAAATCCAAATGATAATTAATCTGATTCATCTACTCCATAATCTGTAGTCTTGTATGCGCCATTACCAGTATTGAAATACCAAGATTCAAGGAAACCATTCCATCCACCATGCCATTAATCTTTACCAAATTGAACAAAGAATTGTGTTGGGACAAAGTGATTGACTGGCACATCAAAGTGAACTTCTCTTGATGGATATTTAATGTAAATGTGAACGCTCTACTTTGACCTTGAATATCCTTAATAGAAGTAAACCCAATTCTTGTGCATAACTTCATCATACGGATTTGTTCTCTCAATGTTCCATGCTCCACCATGACCTTAATCAACTGTATAAGTAGCAACATAGAAAAATCCTAAACCCTTCCAACATGACAATGTTCTATCTCCTGGTCTATCAGCATTCTTTAATCCATCAGTATCTTTATTGAAGATCTATACTCTATAAAGTAAATGCCATGCTTAAATTGATGCTGGGTCTACCCATCTTGCCCATCCTGAAATTGCATATTCATCTTTTCCTCTGGCTGCCTCTGGTTTGACTGTTACCCAAACTGGTTCACCATCAGCCTTAAATTCTTTCTTCTCTTT